CTATCCCAGCCACAACTCCCACCCCCATGCTATGGCCATCTTCACCACCATCCCATCGCGCACTCGGCTTCCTCTTCCTCCTCCTCCTCCTCCTCTTCCCGCTCCAGCTCACCCGCATCCTCATCCCCGACCCTGACACCCATACCCCTCAACCATCACAAGTCATACTGCCCAATCTCCAACCAACAGCAATCTCAAGCTACCCCGCTCCGACCCAGCCCCCTCTGCTGTCCTTGCCTCGACGGCCACCAGCCGCCAGCCGCCGCCCGCTCGCCCGATCAGCCCACCCTCATCGCCACCTAGCTCCCTCCCACCACTAGCTACGCAACCCACGACCACATGCAAGGTCGTCACTCACCCCACACTATCACCAGTACCAATATCGCTATCAGCGATACCCATCGACCTCGGCTCACTTGCGCGTCGATTTGTTTTGCCTTGGCGGTTGAGCACGCCCTCGACCGCCCGACCCCGCACATGCCCCCCATCACACTTATTACCAGCTATACCCAATCTGATTTCACTACTACTCTTCTACACGCCCACACTATCCCCTTGCACCGTCTCCAATCCACAACTGCAGTATTCCAGAATCCGAGTTCTGCCACCTGAGGCCCAAGTTGTTGGCCCTGTCCCTTCGAAGGTGCTCACCCCCCCGCCCCGGGCCCATCACCGACCCCCACTCCCCACCATCCACACCCACAACCACCACACCCACACCACACATACTCACCACCCCTGCAAACATAGCTACTCACTCCGTGCCCGCCGATATTCACATCAGCCGACGCCACCCCGTCAACAGCATGGCTGCCGACCGCCTGCTGCTCGCCGCCGACCACCGCCCGCCGCCGACCGACCACCGCCGGCACCACCGAGAGCAAGCTAGCCATCGATAGGGCATTGGAGGCGATGCATACGGATAGCCACAGCATTGGCAATGACTACCAGTCGGCCCTTTAACCCACTCCTCCCCTCCCTCGTCCGGCCTTGCCCATCACAGCCCCCGCCGGCCTGGTCATCGCCAGCCGCTGCTGCCGCCGATCACCGAGCCAGACGACGAGGCCTATGGACTGGCCAGGACGAGAAAGGACAAGAGAGGGCAAGAGTGACCGATAGGCAATGCAGTTGTAGGCCAGAGTGCAATGGTCTGCCTCCTCTTCCAATCCCAAGCCATCGTCCCCATCGACGTCCATCTCAATCCAATCCGTCCGCCCTCCTCGCCCTTGCCGCCCAAGTACCCGGCTCCCTCATCGTCCACACACCACACATCCCCATCATACTCACCCTACCCACGCACATCCATCCGCAAGCCCAAGTTCCATACTCACCATCGTTTCGCCCGCCACGCCACCCACGTCACGACCCCCCTCATCCCCCCCTACCATACTCATTACGCCCTATCACCACCAACCACTACCCCCACCCCCTACCCAACCATCATCACCTCCATCCCAGCTGCAACTCCTACCCCCATACTGTGGCCATACCCACCACCATCTCATCGCGCACCCGGCTTCCTCTTCCTCCTCATCCTCCTCCTCTCCCCGCTCTACCTCACCCCCATCCTCATCCCTGACCTCGACACCGCCATCTGCTCAACTATCACAAGTCATACTGCCCATCGTCCAACCAACAGCAATCGCAAGCCATCCAGCCCCGACCCAGCCTCCTCAGCTGCCCCTGCCTCGCCGACCACCAGCCGCCAGCCGCCGCCCGCTCGCCTGATCAGCCGACCTTCATCATCACCTAGCTTCCCACCACCATCTACGCATCCCGCGACCACACTCCACGAGCTCCAGTACCAATATCAGCATCACCCCAACCCATCCACCTCGGCTCACTTTCGTCACGACTTGTTTTTCCTGGGCGCTTGAGCACGTCCTCGCCCGCTCGACCGACCGCCGCTGAGCCAGCCGACCGCCGCCCGCACCACCTCCATCAAGCTCGCCATCGACAGGGCATAGGAGGCAAGGCAGACGACCAGCCACATGAATACCAATGCCTCACCCCATGAGGCTTGGTTAGTACTGTGATGGGGGACCACACAGGAATACCGAGTAACGCATTCTCCTTTCTTTTTGCCAGTCGCGCCACCCTCCTCTGCCCCCCCCCCCCTCCCCCCAAACTGTCCACCACCTCACCGCCCGACAACTTGTCTTGCCACGCATCCCCATACCCCCCCACCCCACACACACACATACACATACATACATACACGTCTCCTATGTACACGCCTGTGCTGGGAGAGGTCTTCACCCAGACCCCGGCTCCACTACGCGGACACACCACCACCGTCGACCTGGCGCCAAAACAGCGCGCCAAGCACCGCCCTCGCCGCGCCCTCGCCTGGGCGGACATGCCGCTCGACCCGAGCCTATTTACCATGCCTGCGCTCACAGGCGTGGCAAATCCTCCGTCATTGTCTCCGGTGGCCTCCTTTGAGCTTGCTCTTCCCGCCCCAGCTCCCGAGCCGAGCGCCGCCGCCGAGCTCGCCTTTGCGCCCGGCCCGGCCTCGTTCATCGACGCCGTCCGCACTCCGGTCGTGCCGGTTGTCCGCGCCTCGCCCTTCTTTTCCGAGGCTGGGGAAGAGGTCTTTGATCGCGTCTACACCGACCACTTTTCGAGCCGCGCCTCTCATCCACATCTCGCCCTGCCCGAGGACGTCCTCGTGGCGACTGTCCTACATCTAGTCGTCGGCGTCCCCTCGACCTGCTTTGTCTACGATGTCACGACAGCCACCTTCATCGGCGCCGGCGCGCTCCGCATGCCGTTTGCCTCGACCGCTGCGTCGCAGCGCCTGCTCTCCGAGTTTCTGGCCCTGGGCACCTACTTTAAGCGGGTCGAGGATCTCGCCGGCGCCGTCCATCTCCGCGGCCGCATCGCCTCGTGCTTCGGCGGTGAGCTCGCCCTTGTCCTACAAGAGTTTCGCTGGTTTGTCTTGCAAATCGGCGATGCTGCGCGCGCTCGCCCCGACTTGCCGCTCACTCTGATGGAGCTGCTCCATGTCGTCCGCGTCTGGCAATCGCGCTTTGCCTTTCTGGCGAACGCCTGCGGCGTTGCCGATCTCAGTCGCGGCCCGTGGGATCTTGCGGATGCGCTCAACAACATGCCGTCCGGTCCTGCCCTCCTGCGTCATCTTGACGCAGTCGCTTCGGCTCCGCACGACACGGTTCTTGCGCCGCTTGCCCGTCGCCTCCTCCAAGCCGCTGCCGTACCGGTCCTCGATGCTCTCGCCGCCCTTGTCTTTGGTGGCAAGGTGCGGAATCCAGACGGCGAGCTTCCTCTTTCCTCACGGCCCGGGGCCGAGGCCGGTTTCCTTGTCGCCGGCGAAGCCGCCGAGGCCTGGGAAGCGGTTGCTGCCCTCGCCCCCGATCCGGACCTTGCCCTTCCACCTTTCTTCCATCGGCTTCTTCCATCAGCGCTCCTCGCGGCCCGATCGCTGGCCTGCATCCGCGCGCTCGAGCCGCAGCACTATGTCTTTGATGACACAGCTCGGTTCCCGCTTGTCTTGGCGCACGACGGCGAGTCCGAAGCCGCCTTTCGCGCTGCTGTTGCTTTCCATATCGAATGCCACAGCAGTCTCGTCACGGCGCTTGCTGACCGCCTCACTCCCGACCTTGTGTCAGCCCAGGCCAGGCTTGATGCCGCCCGTGCTGTCTTGCGCGATGCCGCTGAGGCGCGCGCTCGTGCTGCACAGGTCGCTGCTGATGCCAAGCGTGAGCGCATGGGGGCCATCCTCCGCGACCGCGCTGCTGCCCGCGATCGTGCCGCTGCCGCCGCCGCTGAGGTTCGCGCCGCCGACGCCGCCATGGCCGAGGCCTGGCGCCTCGAGGCTGAGCAGTACGCGCGCGCCCGCGCCGAGCTTGCCGACCACGCACGTCAAGAAATCAAGGACTACTACGCCGCCCGCGAAGCTGCTCTTGAGGCCAAGATTGCTCGTGCCGAGTGGCGTGCCCTTCGTCTCACTCGCCGTGCCGCACTGGAAGCCTCCCTTGCCGCCGCCGCTGCTGCCGCTGCCGCCACTGGCGACAACAACGACAACTCGCCCGTTTCCCCTCTGATCGTTGTGCCGGCTCCCACGGTCCACTACGGCCGTTTCTCTTCTACCTCGCCACTCGCCCTGTCTCCCTCCTCCTCGCCGACCTCCTCGCCGTCGCCGTCGCCATCCCCGCCGCCATCGTCATCCCCGCCGCCATCCTCGTCAGCGGTTCCTGCCCTCTCGGTTCCTAACGACGTCGACGCCACCTCCAGCTCCAACCCGGTTCCGGCACTCACCATTGCCGCCGATCCGACACCGCCTCCATCCACCACCCCCATCCCGTCACCCACCCCGTCACCCACCTCGTCACCCACTCCCTCGCCAACCTCGCCCAATCCTCCCGCTCCTACCACTCCTGCCACCGTCGACAACGATGTCGTCGCCACTACCACGCTCGCCGCTCGCCTCTCGACCCAAGTCCGCCTCGTCAACCGCGCTGTCCTCTACCTTTTTATGTACCCGCTGCATCTCGAGCAGCATCTGCGGGCACTGCGCGACTTTCTGCTGATGGGCGCCGGCGACTTTGCCCACTCGCTCTCGACCCTGCTGTTTGAGCGCCTCGAAGAAGTCACCCGTCCGCGTCCCACCGACCTTGAGTTGGGCCTCATTCTGGACGCTGCCTTTGCTGTCCATGCCCCGAACGAGACCGCTGATCCACCGCCGCTCTCGCTGGCATGGGCCGAGACCGACGGCGACGCCCGCTCCGGCTGGTCGCCGTACGTCCCCGGTGCCTTTGACAATCTCTGCCTCGGCTATACCGTTCCGCCGCCGCTCGACATCGTCGTCGACCCGCCGGCGCTTGCCTCCTACCAAGCTGTCCACGTGCTTTTTCTCCGCATCCAGCGCTGCTCGGCAGTGCTCACCGACTTGTGGTCGGTCCTGCAAGCCCCGCGCCTCCGCAACGTCCGCAACACCTCGGTCCATGCCCTCCATCTCCGCAAGCTTCAGCGAGTCCGTGCGCAGATGCAGCACTTTGTCTCGATTATGCAGGGCTATCTCGCTTCGCAGGTTCTCGACGCTGCTTGGACCGACTTTACATCGGCTCTCCGCGCCCGGGTCGGCTGTCTTGACTCACTCCGTGCCGAGCACGCCGCCTTTCTCGCCGCCGTCCACGCAAAGTGCCTCCTCACTCCCGCCGCCCGTTCCGTCATGAATGTCATCGACGGCATGCTCGCCACCATCCTCAAGTTCTACGAGCTCATCGTCTCACAGACTGCCCTCGACTCACTCACCCACGCCAACATGGCCCGCTTCGAGTCGGTCGCAGACTCGTTTGCCCGCTACGCTGTCTTTCTCTTCAAGCTCCTCTCCAAGCTTGTCCTTCGCGGCCACGCCACTCATCTCGACGACCTCCTCATCCGCCTCGACTTTAATGGTTTCTTCTCTTCGCTCGACGTCGAGAACCAGCTGTAAATTCTTACGATTGCGAGAGGTCCGGTGACGACGACGCGGCCTGTGCCGCCCGAAGAGGACCCCATCGCAATCCGACTGTCTCGGCCGATGGGCTGGTGCTCTCGCCGTCGTACCCCTCGTCCGTGTCCTCCACCACCACGTCGATCACCGTCGTCGACACTTTGTACTTGGCCAGGAGCCCATCAACGTGCGACGTGCTGCTCGATGTAGGAAGCGCCGGCGTCGTAATCGGAACGGCTGGGAAACCAGCGCTCTTTGGGCTCAGCGACGACGCCTGCGTCAACTTGCGTGACCTCGATCGCCCGCGTGTCCGCTTGGACTTTCCCTTGGGCCGCGCCACGCTCTCGGGCCGTGTCGCCGACCGCGACCGTGACCGCGACCGCGTTTGCGACTTGGAACGCGACTGCGATCGCTGTCGCTCTTCGGCCCGCTTGCGGATGGCGTCAGGTGTAAAGATCTCCGGAATCTTAGGCTCGCGCGTCGGCGTCCGCGACGTCCGCGGCGGCTTGCGGTTGAGCATCAACAACTTGAGCACCGACTTGTTGCCCGCCGCAGGCGGTTTGGAGTACGCCAGCGTCCGCGGGATCTTGTACTTCTTACCCGACTTCCACATCTCCATCACGGCGTCGCGCTCGGCCCGTACCTCGTCCAGCTCGTCCGCTTGCCGAATGTTTTCGGCTTCCAGCAGCCCAAGGCCTTCGCGGGCCTCGCCGAGTGCCTCGCCCAGCGACCGCGCGTCGTTCTCAGCCCGCTCCTGCTCCGTGCGAGCCTTCAGAAGCGCATCCGCAAGCGCCTCGGCCTCCGCTGCGGTGTCCTGAGCTCGTTCCCGCTCTGCCTTTGCCCTTGCCAGCGCCTCATCGCGCTCTGCGGCCAGCGCTGCGGCCCGCTTCTTGCGTGCCGCCGCTTTTTGCTGTGCCGAGGCTGCCGCCGCCTCGGCCGCAGTGCGTGCCGCCTCGGCTGCTGCCAGTGCCCCGCGGGCCGCGTCTGTCGCCGAGTTGTGCCCATGGCATTGTGCCTCCAGGTCGGCAATTCGCGACTTGGCCAGCTCTAGCTCATCCAACACGCGCTTTTTCCGCCGTCGCGACGACGCCAGCCGCGCCTTGAGATCTGCGGTTTCGGCCGAGTCCGAGTCGGCCGCAACCAGCGCTTCCTTGAGTGCGGTACACTCTGCCTCTAGCGCCGCAGCACGCGCATTAGCAGCGTCAGCAAACCGCTGTCCATCTACCAGCAACTGTCGCAGCTCCGCCAGATGTCGCGCCAGCTCGTTGTTCCGTCTCGCCTCTCGGCGGATGTACGCCTTAAGCTCGGTCTCACGCCTGGCAGCAGATCGCAGCGCACGCGCCAGCCGCGCACGAAGTTCGTCTGTTGTCTCTTCTAGCTCAGCAATCTGGCTCCGCATTGAATCTTGTTCGGTGACAAACCGCTCGTGATCACGCATGAGGCTTTTTCGGGCCTCGGTAACAGATGCCTCGGCCGCAGACTGAAGCGAGTTGACTCGGGCCTGCATCACCTCCTGGGTCGACTCTAACGACGACGCGCGTGTCGCCGTCAGCGCCGCCTCGGTCTCTGCACTCACAGCCCGCGACAGGAGACTGCTGTTCTCTTCTTGCAGCGCCGCAATACGCTCCCGCAAGCTGAGCATGGCAGACCGCTCGGCCTCGAGCGCTGCGGCGAGCGCGTCGCGCTCGATCGCCGCCTGGGCTGCCTGCGTCGCCGCGCTGGCTGCACTTGACGTCGCCTCGGTGGCCCGCGCCCGCACGTGCTGCAGCTGCTCGGCGAGAGACGTCAACGTGGCCTCGGCTGCCGGTGGCACCGCAGCCGCGCGCTGCAGCGACTGCTCTAGTGCCGTCACTGTCGCCTCCAGCGAGCTCTTCTCTGCCACCAGTCCCTTGATCTGAAGCGACAACTGCTGGACCTGCTGTTCCAGGGCACTTTGGGCAGCCTCGGCATCATCTTTGCCCTTGGCGGCATCGCGGAATCGCCTCGCTGCAGCCTTGATCTTCTTCTCGCGGGCCTGTAGCGCCTCCACCTCACACTGCAGAGCAGCGACCTGCTCGGCGGCAGCAACTGCCGCTCGCGCCTCAGCCTCTTGTTCACGAATTGCTGCTTCGCGATCGGCGTCGACAAGCGCATCCACTCCGCCTTTGACCCGCGCTGCCGCGCACGCCGCCGACGCCGCTCGCGACGACGCTGACGCCGCCATCTGCAACGCGGCCTCAAGCTGCCGCGACGCAAGTGCTAGTGCGTTCGACTCGAGCAAGCCAGCGAGCGTGACCAGCGATGCATCACCCTCGGCCCCCCGCTGTCTTGCCGGGCTCTGTCGGCTCGGCGAGCTCGGCGGCGGCGTTCGCGTGTACTGCGCCAGGGCCGCCCGGTCGAGTGTTGTCGCCCGGTGGCTCGGCGTCGGCGTCACCGCCGCCATGTCCACCGGCAACCCGCTGCTCCCTGGAAACCGTACCGACGCAACGTCTCCACCTCGCCACATACCGGGCCTTGTGTGTGGAGTGGACGAGGCTTGAGTGCGGTGGCGTGCTGTGGGGCCTTTGGCTCCTGTTGAGCCGTTTGAGCAAAACTCAACTGCTGCCGCCAACGGACTTGGGAAGCCGCGGCCGACAGACAGGTTGGGATGACGTTCATTTGAGAAGGAGCTCGATGTTACCGGGCGTGGTAATGCGCCAGACAACGTGGTCAAAGCTGGAGTTGGTCTTGCTATCGATGACCAGGCCGCTACCGTCGTGAGCAAGCATCAGATCGTCGTCGAGGCTCGAGACAATGCCGCCGTTGGGGTGCAGCCGCCAGGTTTGATTGGCGCGCGCGCCGCGGAGCTTCTTCCAAAGGATGACCTGATTGCCCGGCTCCGCCACGCCCCGGTCGACGTCGAGAACCGTGTCGTCCTCGCTGGAGTCCACGAGAAAGACTGCACCGTCCTTGGCGGGGCAGACCTCGTAGTTGCCCACGATGGTGGCACCAGAATCGAGAGCCTCTCGCTGGCCATGTGGGTCAAAGGCGAGTGAGACTGTGTGGACCGTAAAGGCCTCATTGATGGCCGAGTTGACGAACCGGGTCCGCCCGTGCCTGACGCTACCGACTTCGTCGTGGACGTGGCCGAAGAGGTGGAGCGACGGCTGCGCCACGTGGAGCATGTGCGCGCGGAGCCCGGCGTCGCCCCAGTGGCTGAGGCATGCCCGATGGCTGTCCTTGCCGCACTCTGGCACGTCGCAGCGAACCCGTGTAGTCTTGGACGTCGAGTGCCATGCCAGATCGAGGATGGCCAGCGGCGGCATGTGGGTGACCGCCACGTCGACGCCTGCAGGGCACGTCCCCCACACCTTGTTGCGCTTGGACGCCGAGGTCACGCCGAACATCGACGTCGGGTAGCAGTTAGTGACCGGCGAGCCCCAGAGGGTAAAGCCAAATGGCTCGACGACGACAGTCTCGTTCTGCACATAGTAGTCGGCGTTAGAGAAGAAGGCAGCGATCTCATCGCGCGACATGCCCTTGAACGCCGTGTCGTGGTTCCCAATCACCACAACCTTGACCGCGTAGTCCAACTCACCAAGCCACGCGTTAAAGTCCTCCGCTACATCCTTCTCTCCGCGATTGAGGATGTCTCCCGAGTGGATGAGCACATCGCCCGGAGGAAGCCCGTCGGTCAGCTCGCGATGTCTGCAGTGCGTGTCCGAGATGTGCACAATGGTCACCTGCGCCGAACCCCGCCCAGCCCGGCCGGCATGGGCGACGCTCACATGAGACATGACCAAGAGTAAGCGCTAGCGACAGTCAAGTGGCTTGCTGTCGCCTCGTGGCATCGCTCATAGCCTCGACTGCTCGGTTTTGAAGGTGAGGATGGAAGGTCGGTGTTGAATGCCTCAATTCCTTCGCGCGAAGGAATTGTTCTCCGCTCGCAACTTCTTTACGTTGACCTGCTTTCTCCATGCTGCCTGCTTCGTTCGCGAGCAAGAATGCGCGAGGTGAACTGGTATGAGCTGAGGTAGACGAGCTCGCTGGTCGGTGCGCTTGCTGACTCGGACGAGGTACGCGACGAGCCGCTCGATTCCGAGAGCAACGCCGCGAGCCGCTCGCGATAGATCGGGGCAACCATGGCCTCGACGCCAGTCGGCCCTAGATCCGAGCTGTTGTCAAGGGCCCGGGTCGAGGCCTGGGCCCGCGCCCTTGCATTGGCCTCGAGCGCAGCCTCGCGGCTCCTGCCGGCGACCGCTACGCCGGAGATCGAGCTCGACAACGAGCTCGACGACGAGATGGAATCCATGGCAGGCGCTGCGACGGCCGCGGTGGCCGCGTACTCTTCGTCGGTAAAGGTAAGGACTGGTATGGTGGCATCCGACTCGGTCGCGTCGACGAACGACGAGCCACGAGTTTCGTCGTCCTCGTCGCGATACGCCCGCGACGCAGCGGGGACAAGGGAGGTAAAGTCGAGCGCAGCTGGAGGATGCATGCAGAGCACCCGCGCCAGGTTGCGCCAGCCAGATGAGCCGTACAGCTGGTACGGAAGGCCTTTGATCGTCTCCTTGGTTGACCGACCAGCCGCGACAAGGTAGATGTGAAAGACGGCAAGGCCTCCGACCGGCCACACAATGATGACCGCGTACACAATGAGAACGAGCGCGAGCGTTGGTCGCCCGCCGCTTCCGGCTTGGCCGAGCGCGGTCTGCTCCGAGCCTGATGAGACTTCAAAGAGGTAGCTGAGGCAGAGCGCAATGATGAGGGTGAGGCCGAGCGTGGTCGACCACACAAACGCCAGATAGTACTTGTAGTTGCGGAGCCCGACGCAGTTGCCGGTCCACGGACAGTGGTGGTCAAAGTGGAGCACGCAGTTATCGCACACCCCGCAGTGCGAGGCTCGTGGCGGCCGGTACAACCGGCATGTCTCGCAATAGTTGGCTGCCACGGTCTCGCCCTCTCTGCCGACAACCACCTCGCGCGCCTCCACAAGCTCGCCCTCGGCGCGGGTCCATACCCGCGCCTCGTCATCGGCCCGCGCCTGCCGCGGCACAATCCCGGGATCAGTGTACCGCGCAAGCACTAGCGAGATGTCCATCACCGCCAGCACCGCCAGCACCGCAATCACCAGTACGACCCGCCCGGCCGTCGTCGTCGCCAGCGTCTCCGCCACGTCGTCCATCCTGTTCATCACGCTCATGAGTTTCCCTCTCGCCTCTACACACAAGCACACAAACACACACACATATGTCCCGGCGAAGCGTACAGTCCTGCAACAAACACGATCTGTGGGATGACCGTCGCGGCAAAGGCAATGGCAAAGGTGTGCCAGTCCGGCCCGGCCACAGCTCGGCCGCCGCACCCGTAGTGGTTGGACGATGGGTAGACCTTGTACAGCGGTACTCTCCGACTACCACCACTGGCCCCGGCCTCGTCCAGGTCCGTTCCGCCTGTGCTGCTCTCGCCTGCAGAGGTCATGGCCTTCCACGCCGACGACAAGTGGTGCGCCCACTCCCGCACCCGCGCCTACTCTGGCGCCCGCACCACGCGAGCCTCAGCCCAGCCCACTCCACCGCATCAACTCGCGTGTTTGCTTTGCTGGCTGTTGGCTGCTCCTGTCCACGATGGTCGGTGGCTGCTGCGCATCGGATCGACTGGCGCTCAGTTGGCTCAGTTGGCTCAGTTGGCTCAATTGGCTCAGTTGTCTTGGTGGGCCGAGGAGGAGGCGCGCTCCTGGCGGTGCTTCTGGTGCTGATGCTGCTGGAGCTTAAAGTCGAGCAGCTTATTGCGGTTGGGAATGGCGGCCTGGGTCTCGTACGAGTCCTTGGCCTTGTGGATGCGGGTGGAGATGGAGTCGAGCGTGTCACTCAGCATGACGGCAAACGACGAGGCCATGTCCTCCATCTGCGCCTTGAGCCGCGCGACTTCGGCGCCTTTTCGGCCAGGATCTTGTCACGCTCAGCCACAGTCTCTTCCAGTGCCGATCGCGTAAGGTACAACTCGTCCTGGGTCGCCACCAGCTCGGCGTTGAGCGTGTTGATCTCGTCCATCAGCGAGTCTTGCGTCAGCTTGTACTGCCGCGCCATCGCCGACATGATATCAAATCGATCCGCCTGTTCTGCCTCAATCAGCTCGCGCGCCTCCTTCATAGCCTCGCCAAGGATCTTCTTCTGCTCCGCCGCCCGCGCCGTCTCCTCCGATCGGTTCACCAGCTCGCGCTCGAGTGCCATGATCCGCACATTGGCGCTCTGTAGCTTCTGCTTCTCGGTCATGTTGAGGCCATCTGTACAGCCATAACCGCATCCACCACAAGTAAGGCCAGCACAGCCACCGCAACCACAACCACAGCCACCACAACCACAGCCACCACAACCACAGCCACAACAACCACATCAGCAACCGCGCCATGTCCGGTCAGTCTCACCTGCCTGTGCCCTGAACCGCCAACCACCCCCCCCACACACACACACACACACACATATACACACGTAACCTACCTTTGGTAGCCTTGCCCTTCTTCTTCCGTCCCGACATCCCAAGTGCGGTGTGCACGTACCGAGTCGTGCCTGCCCCGCCGAGTGCGCGCTCAACGGCTGTCACCCGACCTCACCGCCAACGCACTACATTGTCATCCACAAGAACACCATCCGTGTAGCAGCATACCCACATACACGAACAACACGCTGGACACACGCTCAACGTGCTCATCGGCACCCTCAACATACCCAATATCGCCTTGTCGCTCCCATCACAGCTGACAATCATGCCCGACGCCTCCAGCCCCAGATCGGCACCATCCGCACACCACCCCCACCCCCTTACGGCGATGCCCAGCACAGGTCATGACAAGTCCTCATACACCAAACACGCCCCTCCCGTGCCTGCATAACTCCATTCCGTACGACTCCGCCCCGTTGATCTCCTTGCAGTGGACAAATCGCAGCCCACGTGGTCACTCGCTCACTCCGCCCGGCCCCGCGCGTTGACAAGCTCATACACTCCACCACTGCCGGCTCAACAGCAGCAGACGCGATGGAAGTACTGTGGGAGCTTGTCAAGCCCATGCCGTCGAACATGGGCACGCCCAATGTGACGGACGACGTCCTGCTCGGCTTGGCCTTTATGGTTGTCATTGCCTTTGCCGACTTTGTCCTCCTCCGCAACGTCTTCAAGTTTATGGTCGACGACAAGAACGGGCGGTACTTTACCCTCCATGTGGCCATCAACGCGTATGTGGTCCTTGTTCACTTTGATGATGTTTACTACGCCATCACCGATCCATGGGGCTCGGTCTTTTGGCCTTGCGACAACCGCGGCATCATCGCCATCGCCGCCCTCCATCTCTACCACATCGGCTTCTACCAGCCGCTGCCGGCCGTCGACTGGGTCCACCACATCATCATGATCATCATCCTGCTCCCCACGGCCTATCTGCTGCAGCCTGGCCCCATGCTCGGCGAGGGTGCGTTCTGGGCCTCGGGCCTCCCTGGCGGCATCGACTACCTCATGCTCGTCCTCGTCAAGGCCGGCAAGATGAACTCGCTCACCGAAAAGTCGTGGAACACCACCATCCAGACCTGGATCCGCATGCCCGGCTGCCTCTACCATGCCTTTGTCTCCTGGGCCGCCCTCATGCGCCTTGTAGGCATGCCGTACGATCCCGCCTCGCCTCGCCTCCCCTACGCCCTCCTCCCCGACCACATGCTGCCCATCACCATCTGCCTCATGATCACCGTCGTCGGCTTCTTCTGGAACGGGCCGTACTTTGCCGCCCGCGTCGTCGCCTCGCACGCCGTCCACACCGAGCGCAAGAAGCTGGCCGCCAAGGCCAAGTGATGGTCTTGCCGCTGCCGGTTGCCGAATCGTGATGTGGCGGACACATGCCATGCCCATGGTCTCCACTACAACTAAACCACCCTGGCTGTCATACTCAACATGCTTGATGCGTGCCACGGGCCCGCCTCGTCCGTGATTTACAAGCCATAGCTGTCGTCCTCGATTGTACGTGTCGGGAACGATGGCGGCGATAGCATCACCGGTGGCAGCAGAACGAGATCATTGTCGGTGGCGGTGCATCGAGGTGTCGGTCCCGAAAAACGTGCGCTTGGACATCGACGGTGGCAAGGTCATTGTCGTTGCTGCCGTCCGACTCTGCGGCGGGTCCAAAGCCATCACTGGCGATGGAGGGAAAATGGTCGCAAGCAGCGCTGACAAGCACCAACACGACGTTTGGCATCACTGTACTAGACTACCATTGACAATGCAGACAATATGTTGAGCGCATGAAAAAGTAGGACATCGAGCGACCGCATGTCATCATCGTGATCAGGTCGAGCAAGGCCAGCTGCGGAACAGTTGGAGAACAGTAAGCAATCGGCTGTCGCCCAAAAGACATCATCAATTTGGGCCTTTGATCCCGCCACCCAACTCGACCCCGGCCGCAGCGCAGCATCACCTATCCCTTCCCGCGCCAGTTCCACGGCCGACCACTCCCTCTCCTTCCACCAACTGTGGCTTTCTCGTATTGTTGAGCTCCGTTCCTATCATGGCGACTCCGCCGCCGAACAGCATGGCCGAGCTCGAGGTTGTTCCGCCGCTGCTGGTGGACGCCCTTGACGAGACGCCGGCTCAGCCTGTGGCACTCTGGCGACGCTTTGTCGCGTCGGCCGTCTCGGCCTCGGTCTGCGAGGCCACTCTCTTTCCCTTTGACTTTCTCAAGACTCGCCTGCAAGTTCAGACTGCAAAGCGCGGCTCGCGATCGCACGTCTCGGTCTTTCGCCTGCTGCGGACTCTGCCGTCGCTCTCGGCCGCATACACGGGCGTCGTCCCAGCCGTCTGCCGCCACATCCCCTACTCGTCGCTCAGACTCGTCTCCTACGAGATCCTCCGTGACGGCCTCGGCCTCGCCCCAGGCACCACTCCGCTGCTGGGCCTCTGCCTCCTCGGTGGCCTCTCGGGGGCGATGGGCCAGGCACTCGCCTCGCCCTTTGACCGCCTCAAGGTCGCCGCGCAGATCGAAGCCCACGCCGCCGGCCACCTCAAGATGGGCATGATTGAGCGCGTCGCCGCCATCGTCAAGTCCGAGGGCATGCTCGGCCTGTGGCGTGGCGTCGGGCCGAACGTCACCCGCGCCTTCCTCACCAACTTTGGCGACATTGCCGTCTACGACACCACCAAACACTGGATCCAGACCACCTTTGACATGCCCGACTCGCCGCTGCTACACGCCAGCTCGGCGCTAGTCTCCGGCTTTTCCTCGACCGTCTGCTCCTGCCCAGCTGATGTGGTCAAGTCGCGGGTCATGGCTCTCTCCATTGGCGATGCCCACGTCTCGGGCTTCCGCGTCGCTGTTGACATTGTCCGCTCCGAGGGCATCTCTGGGCTCTACCGTGGCTTCTTTCCATGCTGGCTTCGCCTCGCGCCCTTTGGTCTCATTTTTTACGTCACCTATGAAAAGATGCGCGTTCTTGTCGGCCTAGATCCGTTCTAGTGCTGCCGCCGCTGTCGCCGCCGCCCGAGAAACACCGCTACGCTGACCACAACCGCCGACACCGCCAGCGTCGCCACTATGACGGACAGATGCGTTCTGGTGAACAAGACTCCAGAGGGGGGCACATCGTCGTCCACTTCGGCCACCTCGCTTGCGCTCGTGCTGGCGCTCGTGCTCGCGCTCGTGCTGGCGCTCGTGTTCGCGCTCGTGCTCGCGCTCGTGCTGGCGCTCGCACTCGCGCTCGCGCTGGCGCCATCGCTCGACCTCTCCGCCACACCGACCCCTGCCACCACCTCAACGCTTGCAGCCACGCTCTCGACATCGCCACACAGCAGGTACACGACAACATGTCCCGGCGCAACAACGCCGGGCGGAAAGACTACCTCACCGTGGTCTTCTCCGTGTGCGAAGACCCGCTGTGTGTCGACTGTCGTCCCGTCAACGCGCCTCACTGCGATGGCGTCGAGGTACGAGGCCTCAAACTCGGCCCGCGCCGGCGCCCACCAACGAATTCGAGTCGGCGCAGCGGGGTCGATAGGCTCCACAACCTCGATCCGGGTCTCGCCGTCTCCGAGCCCCAGCTCGGCCCGTGCCGCGCGCCATTCGACCGAGCCGGTCATCCGGCCCCGGAGGCGGGCGCGCTCGGCGGCCTGCAGCGGCGTCAGAATGGCGACCGCAAGCTCGACCTGCTCGGCGGCAAGGCGAGCGGCGACGTCACGAGCACGCTTAGGCGGCAGCGCTGCCTGGATGCCGGCGTTGAGCTCGGCAATGTGGTTGGCGAGCCAGGCCTCGGAGACCTTTGTCCGCCGGGCCGCCACTGCGTCCCACTGACGGGTGTAGCGACGAGTGACATCGGCGACGCCGGTGACACTCACCGCGATGATGTAGTTGAGCTGCTTGCCCCATCCAGCCTCATACAGAAGCGGATTGTCCATCTGCGACTCGCACGGGTCGCAGTGGATCCATCGGTGCTGCGCGGCGGACCAGACCTCGGTCCACACATGGTCAGTGTGGTCGTGGACATGCCGAGCCTCGTAGCCCATAGCGACGCAGCAGAGCGTAAACGCGTTGGCAAACTCGCCGCACTTGCCCATGCGGGTCTCCAGCAGCTTTCCCGGGTCGTTGTACCGCGGGAACCTCGTCTCGGCCCCGCATCCAGCCGCCGGGCAGCGGTAGATCTCGGTGACGGCAGCGCCAAACGCGGCCTCTTCCGCTGCCGGCGCCACCGCTCCTGCTCCTTGGGTTCCGCCGCCGCACGCTCGGCAGACCGGTGCTTGGCACCAAGCAAAGAACTCTTCCTTGAACCATGTGAGCAGCTGGCGGAGGAGCTCATCGGCTATCGCCCGTCCCGACTGCGCCACGGCTGCCGCCGCCGCAGCTTCCAGCTTATCGCTAGGAATAACAGATAGCGCCCGTGCACGCAACTCATTGTCCTCGTACTTACGAACCTTGACCAGGCTCCCTACGATCGAGTTGGCAAACGCTCTCTGTCCCCGTTCGGCCGCCGCCTTTGCCGCGCCCTCTGCTGCCGTCATCAGCTGGACGCGGATACCATCAGCGGCAGGTGCGCCGGCCATTTCTCCGATCCGAGCCGCAAACAAACATCCGCCATCATCTGCACAGCCACAGAGAACAGCCGTCATAGGAGACGGCGGAGCGGTGAGGAGGTTGCTTCCCGATCGGCAGGTGCCCGCGCAGCCGGCGCACACTGCCACCGCCGCCTCGCTGCTTCCAAGCACCGCATGCGGCTGCACCACCTCTTCAAAGGGAAACACAATGCGGGTGCACTCGCCCATGACCTTCGTCGTTCTCTCCGCCGTGTGGGTGCTGGCCAAGGTGGAGCAAGAGAGGTACCAGAGTGCGTGCTATGCTTGCGCGTGCGCGTGGGTGGACGCCTGGCCTGGCAAGGGGGGATGGCATTGGGAGGACCCACCCATCGCAACCACAACCACAAGCATAACAACAACTGCAACCACATACTCTCCATCACTTTCCATCCACCACCCGATCCCATCACCCATCTTTTATCATCCGATCAGCCCCCCTCCCCCCCTCTTCCCCTCTCCCCTCTCCTCAAACCCTCCCCGTGTCACTCACCAAGACCAACCACACACCTCCACTCCCTTCGCTCACACCACCACTACACTCCATACTCCTCACCACGCACCCATGGACTGGACTGGTATGTCACCTCCCTTCCTCTTCCTCCTTCCCCCTGCCCCCTTCTTCCCCTTCCCCACTCACTCTCCCTTCCCTCCTTCTCCTGACAGAGTTTGCCCTCGCCGACCGGCGACCTGTGCTGATGGCTATGGCGGACGAGGTTGCGGAGATGCAGAGCGCATCGGCAGAGAGCAAGGCCGCGCTGGCGACAAGGACTCGCTCGTTTGGCAAGTTGGACGAGGTGCGCAAGGCAAAGAACGTGGCTCGCTTGCTCAAGTTGTACCAGGATGAGATTGTGGCTCTCTCGGAGAGGGCAGAGTCGGCCGAGGGCCATCTGCTGGCTCTTGTTCGCTTCCTCGCCTCGGACTCGCTGCCGGATCCGGCCACTATGGTTCCGCGTCGTGTGGTTGAGTCTCTGGAGACGCAGCTGGCTGCTGCCAATGCCCGCATTGCAGAGCTGGAGGCTCAGCTCGCAGGCTCACCGCTCCCGCTGGCGCAGCAGCCGCAGACCCCCAGTGCGCTCTCAGCGGTCGCGGATGCGCTTGATGACGACGACGACGACGATGCGGCTGGCTGGGGTTCGGACGGAGACTGGGGAGAGGCATTTCCCTCGTCCGACGCCGAGCCCCAGCCCGAGCCTGTGACCCAGCCTGAGTCCGAGCCCGAGCCCGAGCCCGAGCCCGAGCCTGCGCCGCAGCCTGCGCTCGACACTGTTTCGCTCGAGGAGCACAACGCGGCCATCGAGGCAGCTCGGGTGACCATCGGCGACCTATCGAACAAGCTCAATCTTGCGGCCGAGCGGATCATGGCCGATGACGCTCGCTTCGACAAGCTGCGAACCGAGTACACCCAGCACCTGACCGCCATGCAGGGCCGTATTACTGAGCTCGAGACCGCCGCTGCCGCCGCCTGCGAGGCCTCCACCGACGAAGTCGACGAGCTCGGCGCCCAGGTCGAGCGCCTTCAGTCGCAGCTCGCCGACGCCCAGGCCGAAATCATGAAGCTCAACTCTGCTCTGGCCGCTGCAGAGTCCGCTACCCCCACCCCGGGCGCAGACGCCCGCGTTGCCGAGCTGGAGGAGAGGCTGCTTGCCGCAGAGTCACAGCGCGACACAGCAGAGACTGCCATCGACGAGCTCGAGAGCCGCATCATCGAGCTGGAGGAGCTGCAGGAGCATGCCTCCCGTGCCCGCTCGCTCGCTGAATCGCGCGCCGCTGAGCTCGAGGCTCAGCTGGCCGCTCGCGACGAGGCCGCCGCCGCTGCTCCTGCCCCTACCTCTGCTCTTTCCGACGATGCCGCCGACGGTGACTGGGGCGCTTGGGCTGCCGACGACGAGCCCACGGATCCTGTATCCGCTAGCGCTGCAATCGATGCAGACGCCGAGCTCACTCAGCTCCGCGAAGCCCTTACCGCTGCCAACAGCGAACTCGCCGAGCTCCGCGACGAAGTTGTCCGCCTCAACGAGGCCCTCGTCGCCGCCCAGGCCACCCACGAGCAGACTCTCGACGAGGACGCCGCAGACGCCGACGCTACGGACGCCGAGCTGGCCGAGCTCCGCGACGAAGTTGTCCGCCTCAACGAGGCCCTCGTCGCCGCCCAGGCCACCCACGAGCAGACTCTCGACGACGACGCCGCAGACGCCGACGCTGCAGACGCCGAGTTGGTACAGGTCCGCGAGGCGCTCGCAGCGTGCCAGGCCGAGCTCACCAAGGCCCGCGACGACCAGTGTGCCGCAGTCGAGGAGATCGCGCGGCTCCACGCGGCACTGCTCAACGAGCAGGCGACCCACGAGACGACTCTCGACTCGCACGCCGACCTCTCGACCGAGGTCGAGTGTCTGCACGCCGCTGCCAACGGGACCCCGGTCGCCGCACATGCTCCTGCTGCAGCTGCTTTTGATCTCCACGCCGACATTGCTGACATTGCCGCTAACGTCCGCGCCCTCCGCGAGGAAGCCGCCGCCGCCGCACAGGCTCGTGCCCGCGACGGCGCTCTCCAGGCCATCCTTCTGCAGGCGCTCAACACACTCGGCGCATGAGCGACCCGGCCTGCTTTACTGTGCAAAGACTGCCATAAACTCCTCGGGCGAGACGCCAATTGGCACATCCTGCGCACCGTACCCGTCGCCGCCGCCGGTCGCGCCCATCATCTCCGCCATCGTCCGCGGCCGCCGCGCCGAGCCCGACCCACGAGTCTGATTCAGCGCCCGCGTCGCGTTGGCGTCGTTGCCGTACCGCGTCTCGTTGCCAACCTCGTAGCCAGAGCCCGCAAACGACCCAAACGACGCCTCCGACTCAAAGTCCAGTCCCTCGAGTCCGTCCAAGAACTCGGCGTCTTGGAACGGGTCCGGCGGCAGCTGCAGGTTCTTCGGCCGCTCCAGCCGGGTGTAGTTGTCCCAAAACTCGGCCTAAACACACACACACACACACACACACACACACACACGCACACACACACATACATACACACACGCGCGCGCGTGCGCCCTCTCCCTTGGTGAGTCCATTGCCTCCAACTCGTCCATCCAATCTCAGCGGCGTACGTTCCCTCAGTGGTAGTGATGAACAAATAAGCATCATCGACAAATGCCTCAAGAAAAGGTATCGTCATCGGGAACACGGCCAGACCGCTCACTCTACTCACTCCAACTCTCCATCCTAAACGTACCTGAAGCCTGCGCTTCTCCAGATTCTGCTGCATGCCGACCTGGAAGAGCCGGTCAAAGACCTTGACGTCGCGGGCCATCTTGCGCGAGCGGGCATTGATGGCCGGCTGAAAGGTGGCAGCGTCCGACTCGTCGTCCGAGCCGGCGTCGGGGGCGGCGGCAGCGCGGGCCTCGTTGTAGCGGGCGCGCGAGTACGCAAGCCGGTTGCACACCTCGGCCGTCGACCGGTACTGGTTGGGGTCGACCAGTGCCCGCGACTTGTTGTTGATCCGCGGTGAGTACGAAAAGTCCGGCTCGGCCACCTGCTTCTTGCCGTAGTACGGCCGCGGCTCGTACCCCAGCTCGCGCACCGGGTCCTTGGTCTTGGGCGCCGCAGGCACACGTCGCTTGCTCTTGATCTGCGGCGAAAAGAAGCACTCCTCCAGCTCGCGCTCGGCCTTTTGCCGCGACGCGTTGAACTTGAGCGAGGCAAGCTTCTCCTCGCGCTTGCGCGCCTCCACCATCAGCCGCTTGAAGACCCATTGCTTGTTGTTGAGCGCCGTCACGTTGTTCTCCACAGGCAGCACGTGCCGCTCCTCACCGCACGAGCACGGCTTGTCCCACTCGCACAGGCAATACGTCCATGCATTCCGCAGCTCCATCGCACCCGTGTCCGGGTTCTCCATCAAGAACTGCCGCAGCCGCGGCGGCCGGTTTGTTTTGGCGTCCGCCTCCTTCGCCGCGCTGATCTTTGACTTGAGCTCGTTCTTGCGCGCCCGCCGGTGCTTCTCGTACCCGCGGAGCCGCGACCCAAACGACGACTCCCAGTCGCGCAGCGTCCGCGGCTTGGCCGACTCGTACTTGTCCACCCACTTGTACCCGGCCTCCTCTAGCAGCCGCTTGCGCTTCTCTTGGTGCTCCCGCAGCTGCCGCTGCTCGGCCAGCGCTGCTTTGCGCGCGCGCGCACGTTGCCGCTGCTTCGTCCGCGCCTGCCGCTCACGCATCCGCCGAAGGTGGTTCGTCTCCCACTCCTTGAGCGAGAATCCTTTGCGCTGCTTTGGCTTGGCCGCCTGCACCTCGTCAGACGTCAACGGGTTGTACCCGAGCTCAGACTCGTCCTCGTTGAAAAAGACCTCCGACTCTTCAAACGACGTCGCAGAGTCGCCGATCCCCATCTCAGACTCGAGTGGAAAGTAGTACGACGACCCGTCGTCGCCGCCGTGTCCATCACCGCCGATCAGGCCCTGGATCGACTTGGTCAGATCCTGGATCATCGAGTCGGCCAGTCCGGCGTCTGCGTACCCTTGGCCCATCAGAATGTCCTTGTTGAGCGCCTCGTGCACCCGCGCCATCACCTCCTCCACCTTGGCGTTTGTCGTCACGTACTCGGCCTCCGACGCAGACTCCCACGTCGCGTACCCGCCGCCAACTCCGCTGGCGCCCGCGGCCCGGCTGGAGCCGCCGCCGCCGCCGCCACCGCCACCCATCTGCCCGACTTCAAACGGCTCGTCCTGCACTGAGTAGTCGTTCTCCGAGAGAAGAGCAGAGCCCGAGCCCGAAGACAGCCGGAACGCGTCCGTCGCCATCAAGTCCATCGACAGGTTGGTCGTTCGCGTCTCCTCCAGCGCCCGGTTTGCCCCAGGCTCGGGGCTCGTCATAGCTGCCTCTGCATACGCCTCGTCGTCGTCTTCGTCGTCGTCCGAGTCCAGGTCGGCCGCCTCCACCTTTGCCGGCTCCGGCACCGCAGCGGCTTCGACCTCGGGTTCAACCACAGGCTCGGCCTCGTCGGCATCAACATCTGCGTCGGCATCAACATCCGCGTCGGCATCAACATCCGCGTCGGCGTCCGCATCGGCGTCGGCGTCAGCGTCAGCATCGGCGTCGGCATCGACATCGGCATCGGCATCGGCGTCGGCGTCAGCGTCGGCGTCGGCATCAGCGTCGACGCCGACAAACTCCTCGACCTCATCCTTGCCCTTGTCTGCCTCACCCAGGCCCGGCTCCATTGCTGCTTGTCCGTCGTCGGCCATTGTCAGAAGAAACTGCAATTCACAAAAACTCTAGCAAGTGAGTATGTGCCAAGACAATGGGACGTTCGCCCGCCCGCCACGGTTCGCCAGCCCGCCACGGTTCGCCCGCCCGTCACTCGCCGCCATCGTGTCATTTGCCCTCGCCAACGATTATTCGTTGAAAAAAACTGAAGCCAACGGCTGGCCACAGCTCGCAGCACTAGGGGGGTAGGCAGGGGGGCTAGGGGGCTATACATTGGTGTAGGAATTGAGAACAGAGAAAGAGGGTATGGCCCGGCTCGTGGAGAACCAGTATGCGTGGGTACGGGGGTGCAGGATGAAAGTATGCCTCTTCCTGCAGCTCCCCCCACCCACCCACACACCCACAAATACACGTCGCGATCATCGCCGCTTCACCAAGTCAACCAAGACAACCGCCGCCCCCCCCCCCTCCCCCCTCCCCCTCCCCCCTCCCCACCCCTTCCCCTCCCCTCCTCCTCCCCCTCCCCCCTACCCTCGTCCAACCACCCGCAACTAAAAAACATTTCAGTCCAAATACACACAAACAACGTCACTACGGTACGTACTTCTGTGGCCGAGCGAGGTGTCGTCCCCCGCGGTCAGCCTCGCCCCGCAAAGCTGCCGGCTGCCGGCTGCCGGCTGCCGCTCGGTGGCTCGTTGGCTGCCGCATGCAACAACAGCCTCTGCGCTCCGGCCAGTCCAGCCACAAACAAGCCTAGCAGCTCATTTGGACACAGCGTTGGGCTGGTCAACGCAGCACCTCTAACCCTGCGACACAGCTTCACACCTTGGTTGGTAAGCGCAACAGGGATGAAATATCAACGCGATGGGACACAAGGTGCCCACCACCTTGTCAAGTGATGGCCTGCCCCCGGTCAGGGGCACTTGCACCGACGACGACAACAATGACGACGACGACGACGTCGACACCTGGGGCTCGGCCATACCCGACTCTGAGCGACCAAGGATGTACAGTGGCAGCAAAGACACAGGGAAGACAAGCATTGACCTTCGGTCGGATACAGTGACCCGGCCAAGTGCAGCAATGCGTGAGGCCATGGCAGCGGCGGTTGTCGGCGACGATGTGTGGGGCGACGACCCAACGGTGGTGGAGCTCGAGTCGATGGCAAGCGATGTGCTGGGCAAGGAGGCTGCGCTGTACTTTCCCTCGGGCACCATGGCCAACTTGACGGCTGTTATGGTTCATTGCAAGGAGCGGATGTCCGAAATCATCATGGGCGACGAGTGCCATGTCCACATCTACGAGAACGGCGGCTATGCGGCTGTCGCCAACACGCCCATCAGGATCGTGCCCACCTCGGACGATGGCACTCTGCCGCTGGATGCTATCGAAGCCCTCGTCCGCCCGGTCAACGATCACTTTCCCACCTCGCGCTTGCTGCTGCTGGAGAACACCCACAACCGCAAAGGCGGTCGTGTCCTGCCCAAGCAGTACATGGACGACGCCTGCGTCCTCGCCTCCAAGCACAACCTCAAGGTCCATCTCGACGGCGCCCGCCTCGCCAACGCCGCTGTCGCGCTCGGCACAACCATCGCAGATCTGGCTGCTCCCGTCGACTCGGTCTCGCTCTGCCTCTCCAAGGGCCTTGGCGCCCCGGTCGGCTCTGTTCTCGCCGGCTCGGTCGAGTTTATCGCCACCGCACGCCGGGTCCGCAAGATGCTTGGCGGTGGGATGCGCCAGGTCGGTGTCCTTGCTGCCGCTGGCCTCCTCGCTCTCGACAATGTCGATCGCCTCCAGGACGACCACGCCAACGCTGCCGTTCTCGCCGCCGGCCTCGACAAGCTCCCGGGCATCGACGTCGACGTAGTCGAGACCAACATCGTGTTCTTCACCCTCGACGCTGCCGCCTTTGGCGCCACTGCAGAGGCCATCGTCGATACACTCCGCGACGACTACGGCATCCTCATTGCAGGCGGCGGGTCCCGAGTTCGGCTCGTCACCCACCTCGACGTCTCGGCCGACGACGTGGCCAAGGTCATCGACGCCTTTGGTGCCGTCCACGCCGCAGCGCACGCCAGCGTCTGACCTCCGCTCACACCACATGAAAGTAGTCGACGCCATCCACGTAGCCACTCGCCGCCAGAGCTGCCTCAAACGTGCCCTGAGTCCGGTCAAGTGCCACCGCAGCTACAAACGGCGGGCGGAGGTCAGCAACCGCCACAATCGGGATCTCGCGGCGGAGCTGCCGCTTCATCTTGATACAGACCGTGATGGGTCCGTCGTCATCGACGCCGCTTCCATCGCCATTGGACCTCTGCCCGTGCGCAGCTTGCCCGTCGAGCGCCCGCGGCTTCTTGCTCGGCAGAGGATTGCCTGCAGCCGCCGCCGCCGCCGCGGCCTTGCGCGCAGCCTTGCGCGCTTTGCGCGCCGAGCTCATCTTGTGCGCCGGAACCACGACGGGGACGAGGACCGTGTCGGGATACGTGCCTACGCTGAGCTTGGCCGGATCGATGTCGGCAAAGCAAGTGACTCTAGCCTTGGCCTCGTCGCTCAGCGCGCGGAAAAAGGCCTTGGCGTCCTTGCCCGCACCCCAGATGGCAAACGCAGCCCACGGCTGGGCCGGGAGCGTGGCCGGGCGCGCCGCTCCCGCCTCACCCCCGATGCCCAGGACTTGCTGCTCAAAGGCCTCGACACGGATCTTCCTCAGCAGTGCCTGCGGCACCTTCCATGACAGCGATCCGGCCGAGTAGGTGTACACGAGGGCGACAGCGTCGAGGCGAGCAAGGACGCCACCACGGCACACCCACGTGAGCAGAAACTTAAAGTCTTCCGCGAGCCCCGCAGCCTCGTACCCACCAATCCAGGCAAACGAGGCCCGTGGAAGGAACCACGTCGGCTGAATGAGGGTGCACTCGCGGAACCGATGCGTGACGAGCTGGTCCTGGCTGAGTGAGTTGGCCCACGCTGCGTACCGCGGGGTCGATCCCGGCGGGTCACGCACAAACCGCGAGCCCACAAGAACATGGTCGCACCCACTCTCGGCTCTTTTGGCAAAGTACGTCTCCAGCGAGCCGGCGATCCGGCAAGGGAGCATGACATCGTCAGAGTCAAGCCAGCAGAGAAAGTCGCCCGAGGCCAGCGCGGCCACCGCATTTCGCGCCGCACCGATCGACGGCGCGCCATCATCACTCTGGCTCCGCGAGCCGATGACTACCGATATCCCTTGCGGAGCATTGCTAGCATACTCGGCAATGATGCCAAGTGTCACGCCATCATCATCAGAGCCATCATCATACAGACACACCTCGAGAGGACGGTGGCTCGACTCGGCTATGGATGCGAGGCACGGCTTGAGAAGCTCGCCCGTGTTCTTGCACGGGATTAGGACGCTCACAAGCACGCCATGCATACTGCTCCCTCCCTCCCCCTTAGACATGGCCGCTTATCCCTCTGCTCTGCACCTAGCCGACCTTGTCGCGTCGACTGTGTCGAGTGGGTGCCTCTCTCGCCAATGCCGACGCAAACACGTCGGCATGCCGACCTCCGCCGACGAGCCCTTCCCGCACATATCCAAACCCACAGACGGGATCCTGTAAAGCATCGCGCAAGCAAGAGCTTTGCGTATTGTACGCTGTGCCGATCGATCTCACAATCGGCCGAACCAGCTCCCGAGTGGAGTCAACTCATGCATGATCGGCCCGTCTATCGGGGAGCGACTCTGACCAGCGATGCATGGTCCACAGACTACCCCGCCTCGCCTTTACTATTGCCTCGAAAGCATCCCTCAACAGTCTCATCATGCAGCTCGCCAACACTGATATCGGCCAGTCGGTCGCGCGGCCGAGTGGCGCATACCGTCGGCCGTCGGCCGTCGCTCCCCCTCCCCCCCCACCCCCGACCCCTTTTCAACCTCACTCTGGCACAACACTCGACTCTGTTGGGGAAAAAAGCAGACATGAGCTCTGAAGAGGTTGTTGTGGAGGAGCCTGTGCTGTCTGAGGACCTGAAGAGGCTGCTGACAAGGAAGCAGGAGCTCGAGTCGGAGCTGGTCAACGTGGAGCGGAGGATCTATCGACTGGAGGAGAACTACCTCCAGGATACGGCGGCTCTGGGCAACATCGTCAAGGGATGGGCCGGGTACTTGTCGTCAAGGTCGTTGGATCAGATCAAGCAAGTCACTCGCAAAGTCAAGGACTCGGAGCGTCTCTTTACCTTTTCGTCCACGTCGGGTCTGGCAAACAACTCGGCAGAGCCAGACGACTATGATGACGAGCCGCGCCGGAAGCGCAGAAAGCACAAACGGAAGTCTGCAGCTAACGGGGACTGGAACTGATCGTCATCTCTGTCCTCAACCCGTGGAGCGAGCGAGGACTGGAGAGAGATGGGGGGGGGGGGGGGGGGCGACTTGCCGCCGCTGTTGATCGCCCTTGTGCTACTGTGCTGCTGGTCTTGGCGCCGACTCGGGCATCTACGTCGAGGTGCCTACGCCCACGCCCACACCCACGCCCACACCCACACCCAAAGTTCCAGAACGACTGCGAACTGTAACGCGTGCTGCGTCGCGGACTCGCTACTTTGGGTGAACCAGCGATGACGATCGTCGCCGCCACTCTCGCGACCAACCTACTTGCACCTGCTTCTGCTTCTGCCTTTCCCAACAAACAACCTCCCCAGCAGAAGACATTCCCGGCTAATGATCACAGACTCACTGCACCCTTAAACACCACACAACCACACTGCTCATCCTGGCCCTATCCATCTTGCCAGCCTGTCGAGTTGCCGCGCACGCGCAGCGCCCAAACACACCACCTCCACCCGCCACCCTCTCGGACTCGGGTCAGCCTCGGGTCAGCCTCGGGCCAGCCTACGGCGACGGCCATACTTGTCGCAGTCGTGAAAGAGGGGAACGTGTGGCGGTATGAGTGGAGCTGGCAATGGGTCGCGAGCAGCAGCTGTTGTACGGGAATGGCGACAGGCGCCTATCCGTGCCACCTGCTGCAGCAACGTGACGTCGGGAGTAGCTGTCCGGGCCAAGCAGTTTGGTGCCGTGATGATTCGGGACGGACAGCTTGCCATGCGGACGCCGTTGAAGACTCTGCTCAAGGTGCTGCTGCTGTCTCTGCTGGTGGTCATGCTGTACACGGTACAATCGCTCATTCTGACCTTCACCACCGATGGCATCAATCTCAAGTCGGACGTTCTTGCCGACATTCCTCGTTGTCGCTCGCTGGACGGCACAGACTGCCACTCGATTGTGTATGCACCTGCCGATGACGTCGAGGTCAACCGCCTGGTCCGCCAGATGGCGTTCCGCAACAACCCGTCACTCTCGATGGCCCCGCCCGGTTCGCCGCCGGGCACCCCGGGCTACGACGTGCTCGGCCTGGCCGATCTGAACAACATGACCCAGTTCCTGGCAACAACCACCTCGCGGCAATACGTGGCGGTTAACTTTTCGGTGGCACTGGCGCCGCCGCCGCCGCCGAGCAATGTCACCGCCAAGCGGGCCATGGACGTCTACGAGTACACGATCTTGTACAACGCCTCGGGCATCGCCACAACGCTCTTTGACGCCTCGGGCTACTACGACTACTCGCTCGAGGTACAGCGGCTTCTAGAAGAGACCATAGTGGCACGGTATGCGCCACTGCCGCCCGAAGCTGGCGACCTCGCCGCCTCGGTCCGCACCCGCAGCTACACGCCATCGCCGCTCTTCACCTACTCGGTGCGGCTGATGCGGTTTCCGATACCTGTGGCGGCGCTCAACATTGCCACTGCCCAGTACGCGCCGGACTTTCTGGCCACTTACGGCCTTTCGGGCCTGGTATTCTTTGCGCAAATTGCGTTCTTCATCCTCACCGCCAACATCATCCTCAACGAGCGCGACTCGTACACCCGTGACGGGCTCAAGATCATGGGCTTGAAAGACTCGGTGTACTTTGGCGGCATTTTCTTCAGCAACATGATCTTATGCCTGCTCGGCGCCGCCCTTGCCCTCGGAGTCGGCAAGATTGTGGGCATCCCCTACTTTGAGGCTTCAGCTGCCTTTGTGCTCCTCACCCTCTTGTGGGGCTTTCTGGCCATGGTTGCGTTTGCGCTGTTTGTGACGACGCTGGCCCGGAGCCGTGCGCTGGCCAACGTGGTGTTCATGGTGGTCATTCTGATGGGCGGCGGATGCGCCGGCCTCTTCTCGACCTTTCTCGCCTACCACGTCTTTGCGCTCGGTCCGTTCATTGTCACTATCTGCTCGCTCTTCCCGCCGTTCAACTTTTGCAAGGCCATGGCCGACGTCACCATGGCAGTCATGTACACGTTCGACTCGGAGACCCAGTCGTACGTCCAGTCGGGGCCGGGCTTTTCGTGGGCCAATCGCGACGATACGTTCTGGATCAGGGAACGGTTTCCGCACCTGAACGAGCTGCCGAGCCCCGCTGACTCGCTCAACGCACTCTTCTTCAACGTGGTCATCTACCTTGTTCTCGGCTTTTACCTCGACGCCGTCCGGCCAGGCAAGTCCGGCTCGGCGCGGCCGTGGTACTTTCTCTGCACTCCGCGGTTCTACGGTTTCTACTCGGCGCCCGACGACACCACCGCCGGCTCGCACTTGCCGGCCATGAGTGACCGGCATGCGCTCTCGCTGGTGACCAAGCACATGCCGGATGATGTGGCGGCCGAGTTTATGTCGGTCCTCGTCTCGGCCTCGGCGCACACCAGCGATTCGATGCCGAGCGCGTCGGAGTCCCAGTGGGCGAGCTGCGCGTCGAGCGCTGGCGGACCCAACGCAGGCGAAGCGTACTTTGGCTCGCCCAAGGAGAGCGATAGCTTGCTTGCAGTGCCTGTGCGCGGGCATGGACGGGCGACGTACTCGTCGATAGCGCCCGTGGGCATGGGCGGCGTCTCGCCGCCGGCCGGCGCGTCGTTGGCGTCGTCCGAGGGCTCGATCAACGGCACTGCCGCGTTGTCGGAGCAGCAGGCTGAGTCGTTCGAGGACTCGTCGGCCTCGAGCGCGTCTGCGCCGTTTCTCGCCTGGCGATCCTCAGCGAGCTGGAGCGCCAGCGGCGAGAGCGACGGCGAGGGGCTCGCAGGCAGAGCTAATGTCGGAGGCGACCCTGGCGGCGAGATGGGCGGGGTGGACGGGCTGGACCCGGCGTCACGGGTGAGCGCGCTGCTGCAGAGGACGGCGGCGCAGAAGCTCTCGCTACGGCTGGTCGGCCTCACCAAGCTGTTTCACTCGCGGAGCGCGGGCCGCGACGGTGTGCTTGCGTTGGACCAGCTGACGCTCGGCGCGCGGGCAGGCGACGTGCTCTGCCTGCTCGGCCACAACGGAGCGTCCAAGACGACGACGATCAACGTGCTGACCGGCCTACTCACGCCGACCGCCGGCGACGTGTTTGTGGACGGCTACTCTGTTGTCCACCAGATCGACAGGGTGCGCGAGCGGCTGGGGTGTGTCTGGAGCACGACCTCGGGTGGGGCGAGTTGACGGTGGCGGAGCATCTGGCGTTTTTTGCGCGAATCAAAGGCGTACGTGAGTCGGAGATCCGCGATGCGGTCGACGAGTGCCTGGGCGCGGTCAATCTCGTCGGCGACGCAAACCGGCAGGTCAAGGGCCTGTCGGGTGGGACGCGAAGGAGGCTGTCTGTGGTGGCGGCGACGCTCGGCTCGCCGTCGGTTCTTGTCTTTGACGAGCCGACCAACGGAATGGACGTCCACAACCGGCGGCTGGTGTGGGAGCTTGTGCACTCGCTGGCGCTATCGGGCCGGACCGTGGTCCTCACCACCAACGACATGGAAGAGGCGAACCAGCTGGGGACCAAGATCGCAGTCATGAGCTCGGGGCGGATCCGGGCCGTCGACTCGACCCAGGCACTGAAGCGCCGGTTCGGCGGCGGGTACAAGGTGACGCTGGTGCCACAGCCTCAGCCCGTCGACGAGCTGACCGGCCTCATCCCGCAGCTGCTGCCGTCGGCGCGGGTCATGGCCGGCGGCGGAAGCGGGCGAGCGATGGTGGTGTCGCTGGCGGCGGCGGCGGCGCCGGAGCTAGGCGCTTTCTTCCGGTACATGGAGCGGGTGGCAGGCGGAGCGGTGGTGGCCGACTGGGCGGTGGAAAAGACCGGGATGGAGGACGTGTTCCTGGCCATCATGGGCTCTGTCGGGCACGACGACGCGTTCTCGGGCTACGGCGCACCGTCGCGGATCGAGGCGCTCGCCCGAGACCAGCGGCAGCATGCGGTCTCGCTGGCGGTGGCGTTCGAGTCGGAGCCGGCACCGCTCGGCTCGATCCCGATCACCAGCACCACAACGCTGGCGCAGCTGCGGTCGCTCATCGGCCAGCTGCTGGACAACGCGCCGCTGGCGTATGCATTCCTCGGCCCGGGATCGGGCGTGCCGCTGACCGAGGCGCAGGAGCACGTGACGCTGGCGGTCGACATGGCGCCACTGGCGGTCATCCGCAACACCGAACTCGAGCAGCGGCGCCGCGAGGGCCAACTGTCGCTAGCGGAGGAGCTCGCCTTTGAGCGCGAGCGAGTCGGCGTCCTCTCGCAGCGCGTCACCGCCCTCCAGTCGCAGCTGGCCGAGGCCAAGGCTGCCGCAGCCGAGGCGCAAGCCGCGCAGCCGGCGAGCTCGTCCTGGTTCTGGTGAGCAGAGCAGCTTGCAGCCGTCTGCACACGCCTGTGCTGAGCGTTGTTATTTCGGCCCGAGGTATCAGCACCCGCGGTTGAACAGCACTTCGCGCATCTCAACAAATACATTGCGGAGGACCGGGAGGCGGGGCTTGAGCTCCGGAAAGACCAGCAGCATGTCGCGCTCGCCCTTGACAACGACAGCAAGGTAGTAGATGACCTGATGACAATCGACACCCTCGTTGAGAACAACTTCGAGTATGCGCTCCTTCTCCACAAACCGGTAGCTCTTTGCGCCGAAAACCGTTGTTGACTCGAGCTGCATGCCCAGATCACGGAGGACTAGGATGGACTCGGAGACGACGCGAGCACGAATGACCAGGAACCGCCAGCCCAGGAGCAGAACAACAAGCAGGGCCACAGACCACGAGACCGAGTCGCTCTCCGAGACCGCAGCCGTGACGGCGACGAGCGAGGCAGCAATGCCGACCACAACCCTGTCCAAGCGTGAGACAACCGGTGCGTCACGCGAGACCACAAACTCACGTGCATCGTGGGTGGCAGCCACAGACTCAAAGGTCAAACTCATATGGCTCGGTCCAGCTCTTTCTCCGCCTGCCCGCTAGACCAGCTCGAGAAGCACGGGGCGGCCGACGTTGAAGTCCTTTTACGGCGTGTATCCGTCGGGAACACGGATGGCAACGCGGTACGTGTAGTAGAGCTGAACACCAAGGAGTGTGACGCACACCAGGGAGACCAAGATGTCCACACCGCGGTCCATGAACAGCTGTGTGTGGTGAGGAGAGGGGGGAGGAAGAGGGGGGAGGTGAAGTGGTGGCGGTGTGGGGGGGGGGGGGGGGGGGGGGTGATCACGACCTATGCCTGGCTTGATCAGGGCAGCAACGAGAAAAGGGCGCGAAGATTGGATGAGAATTTGGCGCCAAAAGCATGGTGAGATGATTGGCAGGTTGGAGTTTGAGGGATGATCGGGTGCAGCGGGGAGTACCTCTCGTGGCACATGTACGTTTGGAGGGTGCGGGTGTGAGGGGAAAGGGAGGCGAGAGGGATAGAGGGGGATAGAGGGGGGGGGAGGGGAGGGGAGGGAGGGGGGAATTAGGGATGATGAAAGGGAGAGAGAGAGAGGGAGGGGGAGGGGGGGGGGGTAGTGGTGTGGTGGGGGTGGATAGTGGTGGCGGTGGGCGGTGGCGGTGGAGCGAGTGGAAGACGGTACGGGCCAGGTCGGGAGACCACTGCGGTGGAGCACCAGTGCGGTTGAACACCATTGCGGTCGATCTCCACTACGGTCGATCTCCATCCTCTCCAATCATATGTGCATGCACTCCTTCTGTGTGTGTGTGAGGCTGGTGTATGCGGTGGGGTTGGCGGGGGAAATGTGCCGCACGGAAGAGAAGGACTCGATAGCTTCGACGATGTTCGACGCGGCTTCGATGGCCGACTCACGTAAGAAGGACGATGATTGGGTGGATGATGCCGATGCGGGCGGACTTGACAGCTTGGAGCAAGGAGTGTGTTGACAGCACATGGCATCGGATTTCACAGAAAGGGCGTTGATGGAGAAGAGCAGCAAGAGTAAGCAGCTCGGCCCGGGTGGGGCAGCGAGCAAGAGGACGAACCCGGCTCGACGGCATGAGATCTCGCGTGGCTCGACGGATGGCCAGTTTCTATGCGGGTGTGCGGCGGCGCCGTGCTTGTGCGCGCGGATTGTGCGGGCGCTGGCCGACGGCGAGGAGGCGGCCGACGGGCGGAGCGTGAATCCGAGCGAGGGGTTCTTCTCGGAGAGCGAGACGGCGACGGCGCTGGCGCCCGAGGTCGACTTTGGACCTGTCGAGTACAAGTGGAAGCTTGCGACGCCGTCTGCGTCGCGGCTGCGGCATCTTGTGACGCAGCTCAAGTTCCGGCTGTCGGAGGGCGGCGGCGAGGCGATCTACGAGGTCGGGGTCACCGACGATGGCTCGCCTGTGGGACTCTCAGACGAGGAGCTGGCCGAGACGCTGGCGACGCTGGAAGCAATGGCAGCCGAACTGCAGGCGGACATGACCGTCCTTCGCACCCGGCAGGGCACGCACGGCAAGGTTGGCGAGGTCCTCATCCGCAAGCTGGCAAACGAGGAGTTTGTCGAGGTTCGCGTGGCAACCATGGGCAACGTGGACGCGGGCAAGTCGACGCTTGTGGGCGTGCTCACGGCCGGCCAGCTAGACAACGGGCGCGGGCTTGCACGGATGAACGTGCTGCGCCATCCGCACGAGCTAGAGAGCGGGCGGACGTCTGCGGTCTCGCACCAGCTGCTCGGTTTTGACTCGAAGGGTGGCATCGTCAACTACCCGGAGGGCGGGGCGTTCGGTCGGGCACGCTCTCTTCGCACGATCTGGCGTCGTGGCCGGAGATCTGCGCCAACGCGACCAAGGTTGTGGCCTTTGCCGACCTTGCCGGCCACGAGCGGTATTTGCGGACGACGCTCACGGGGCTCACCCGGAGCCACCCGGACTTTGTCATGCTTGCGGTCGGCGCGAACGCGGGGCTGAGCGGCATGGCTGTGGAGCATCTCGATGTGACTCTTGCGCTCTCAGTCCCGACCTTTGTGGTGGTGACCAAGGTCGACATGGCGCCGAAGCGGGTGCGCAAGGCGACACTCAAGGCCATCGCCAAGCACGTCCGTGCGCCAGGTGTCTCCAAGATGCCAGTCATGGTGCGGAGCGAGGAGGAGGCTATGGTCGCTGCGCGCAACATCCTCTCGTCGCGGATCACCCCCATCTTTGAGGTCTCGTCGGTCAGCGGTGCCGGCCTCGCCACGCTCAAGACCTTCCTCAACCTCCTTCCGCTCAAGACAGACTGGGCGGCCGTCCAGAGCGCTCCGCCCGAGTTCGCCATCGAGGAGACGTTTGTTGTTGCCGGCGTCGGGACGGTGGTGTCGGGCGTGGTCCGCGCCGGCACCATCGTCGCCGGCGACTCGCTGCTGCTCGGCCCAGACTCGACGGGCGGCTTCACGCCCGTGATCGTCAAGTCGATTCAGGTGGCGCGGAGCTCGGCCAAGGCTGTGGCGGCCGGGCAGACGGCGTCACTCGCTCTCAAGCGGGTCAAGCGCCAGGCGGTGGGCAAGGGCATGATGCTGCTCGACGCCGGCCTCGCGCCACAGGCTCACTACGAGTTTGAGGCCCACATCCGCGCGTTCTCAACCCGGTTCCCCATCCGGGTTGGCCACGAAGCGGTCATCCACACTGGCACCACACGGGCGACGGCGCGGGTCGAGTCGATCTTCCCCGCTGCCGGCGAGTCGGTCACGCCACAAGCCGGCGAGGTCGAAGTCGCGTTCCCTGTCGCGTGCGCCGACGGTGTGCATGAGGCCGCAGGCGCCGCAAGTGCTGCGGCAAGTGCGCCTGGCTCGGTCTCGGTCTCGACCACCACTGAGTCTGTCGTCCGCTTCCGATTCCTCTACCAGCCGCACTACCTCCGCATTGGCGAGCGGGTCGTCTTTCGCGAGGGCTGCGTCAAGGGCGTCGGCAATATCACAGGCGTTGGCGGCCCGCCGGAGCTCGTCCTCCGCATCGCACCATCCAAAAAGAAGCAGTAGCAATTGCAATAATAATGGTGAAGCTGGCGCGGACTCGGGAGGCCGGCTGCAGCGCGCCGGCTGCGGGCGGCCGGCCGGCAGCAGCGCAACGACGAGCGCTCGCACTCGACTTGGTGACCGACCAGCCATGGCCCACGAGAGCATTTATCCGTTTGCCATTCTGACTGGTGGTGTGGCCATGATGGGTCTTCTGCAGTACGGCGTTGGTCGCCTGCTCAAGCCTGATGAGGTACGTCACAACGGGAAGGGAGGGGTGGGTGGCAATGGCTGTGGGCGGTGTCAGCTGCGGGGCGGAGTTGCGACAGAGGCGATTTTTGGTGGCTCCCGTCACGGTACCAATACCTCTGCCCTGTACGTAATATCCATGTCATGGGTACCGTATCTTGAGTAGAGGGTGTAGAATGTTGTAGCATACTCTGTGCCGAGTTGTGGCCAGGTGTTTGCTTGCTACCGTGTGGTAGACCTCGCTGCGGGTGGGTGGTCACACGGCCTGGGCGTGATGGCGGTCGGGGGGAAGGGGTGGTGGGAGGGTGGGAGGGGGAGGGGGAGGGGGAGGGGGGAGGGGGGAGGGGGAGGGGGGGAGGGGGAGGGGGGGAAAGAAGGGGTGAACTCATTGGTTGTCGGCGTATGCTTGGCTGTGCGTGTGCGGTGGTGCTGCTGCTGCTGCGGCTCCTGCTGCTGCTGCTGCTGCTGCTGCTGCTGCTGCTGCTGCTGCTGCTGCTGCTGCTGGCTACTCAACTGCTGCTGCTGCTGGTGCTGCTGGCTACGCAACTGCTGCTACTGTCGGTGCTGCCGGCTGCTGGGACGGGACTGTTGTGGGGTGGGGGCTTGCGGCTACAGCATCGCCGCATCAAGCAGGATCCGTGGGACTTTCTGATGCGTGAGCGCGACCGGCGGATTCGGTCCAACGAGTTTGCGGCCTGGGCGGGTGAAACCCCGCCGGCGGCTCCCACACCAGGCGAGGATGCTGCTCATGCAGCAGAGTAAGCAGAGGCTGAGATCGGTCGACGGCCATGCGCATACGCTCGCGCTCCCGCTTGCGATTGCTCTGCAATCCGACCTCGCAGGCAGAGGCCTTGAGCTAGCCCGCGTTCCGTCATCACATTGTCGTCGTTGCCTTTCCACTTCCATTTCTCTCCCCCTCTCTCCTGCCAGCAGCACTGCATTGCTGCTTGCATGAAATGGGTAGAGTGTGGAGGCGGTGACTGCGCTGGTGGTGATCACGGCGGCGCCGTGTGTACGTGCAAGCTGGACACCGATCTCGCCCTCACAACACATAAAACAACCATATCCACACAAACAACACCTCACCACCCATTCACCCATCGAAGCAACAACAGCTCGTGTCGCCGAGCAGCGGCATTGGGTCCAAGCTTGCGTGCTATGAGTGTAGAAGGGAGGATCGGGAGGATGACTGCGAAAATTAAAGATCACCAACCATGATCAAGGAAACTAAAGCAGACTCTGCAGCATCTTGGGTTGGGTTGTCTCGCCCAAGCTGATGCTCATTGTTGCAGTTGGGGTGCTCATACTCGTTGTTGAAGTCAAGGAGCTCATCACCCACCACCATTCGCGCCACTCGCCGCTCGCCACTCGGCACTCGGCCGCAATTCGCCCATTTGGCGCCAATGGACAAGTCGGCAGGCGACCGCGCCACACACCACTCTGCGGGAACAGGTGGCGGACAGAGCAGGTGCAAGAAGGACACAGAGGGCGGTGGGAGAAGCATGAAGAAGACACTTGCACAATTGCGTCGGCTGACCCGGGATGCCCTCAACAAGCAACTCTACGAGTCGGCCATGTTCTACGCCGACAAGGCCGTCTCACTCCAGACTGCCGCTGCCGGAGGCGATCGAACCGATGCCGTGTCGGGTGCTGGCGCTGGCGCTGGCACTGGCGCTGGCGCGAGTACGGGGATGGTGACGGTCGCAGGGACGGCCGCTGGAGTCGAGATGGGCTTGGCGAGCACATCGACGACTGGCTCGGGTCGGGTGGTGGCCTCGGGCTTGGCGTGTCATAGTGCGGAGGGATCGGCGCTGACGCCGGGACTTGCCGACGACGTCTTTGCCCTCGCCACCGCCTTTCATGCTACTCATCAATATCAGCGTGCTGTCCATACCCTTACTCGCCATGGCATGCTTGATCGCTCGCTGGAGGCCCGGTTGCTGGCCGCTCGCTGTCTGGTATGTGTCTAGTCTGGTGTGTGGTGTGTCGAGAGAAGAGTGGAAGCACTCACCGCAGCCACACTCACATCCATCGCTGGTCGGCGGTGAGGAGGGGGAGGGGGTAGTTTGGGTCGGGAAAGCTGGAGGAAGCGCTGGAGATGGTGGGTGACGACATGTCCGAGATGGAGCAAAAGGTGCTGGCGGAGAGAAAGATGATGGACTTTGACGAGGACGAGGACGAGGACGAGGCGGGAGCCGAGGCGGAGCAGGTAAGTGTGCTGGAGGCCGGGCCGTCGACGGTGGCAGCGGTGTGCGTGCTGCGGGCACGGGTGTACGAGGAGATGGAGAACCGCGACCGTGCGGCGACGTGGTACCTCAACGCACTCGACGCCGACTATCACTGCGTTGAGGCGTTCGAGGTCATTGTGCAGCGGCAGCTGCTGTCGCTGGCTGAGGAGGCGGCGCTGGTGGCATCGCTGCCGTTCCGCGACAACGAGGCCTGGCTCGAGGTGCTCTACAAGGCCAAGCTCAACAACAAGTACGGGTCGTCGCTCGCAGATCTCAACGCCGCGGTGCAGGCTCTCGGCGAGACCGCAGGTGTGCGGCTGGAGAGCAACACAGACATTGTGGTGGCGCGAGCGCGGGCGGCGTACGACGCGCACGCGCTGGACGACGCGCTCAGGCTCGCCCGCCAGGTCCTCGCCGAAGACCCGTACCACGCCGCCGCCCTCCCGCTCTTCATCGCCACGCTCGTCGAGCTCAAGGCGACTCAGGAGCTCTTTCGCAAGGCACACGCCCTCGCCGAGCAGTATCCCGACTCGGCGTTGGCGTGGTACGCCGTCGGCTGCTACTACTACACGGTGGAGGACCATGGAAAGGCACGGCAGTTCTTCTCGCGGGCGACGGCGCTCGACGGTAACTTTGGTGCGGCGTGGCTCGGCTTTGGCCACTCGTTTGCGGTCGAGTCGGAGCACGACCAGGCTATGGCGGCGTACCGGACGGCGGCGCGGCTGTGCAAGGGCTCGCACTTGCCCAATCTGTTTGTGGGGATGGAGTACGTGGCCATCGGCAACGTGCACCTGGCAGAGCAGTTTGTCCGCGCTGCGCACGAGTCGTGCGCCGCCGCCGACCCGCTTGTCCTCAACGAGCTCGGCGTCATTGCCGCCACCCAGGGCTCGCTCACCCGAGCCCGTGGCTACTTTGAGCGGTCGCTGCTTGTTGGCGGCGCCGCCCTCGAGCCGGTCCTCTTCAACCTCGCCGGCGTCTGCCGCAAGCTCAGTGACTACACTGCCGCGGTCGAGTACTACTCGCAGTCGCTCGCCCTCCGTCCGCGCGAGTCGTCGACCTACACCGCCCTCGGCTTTACCTACATGCTCCTCGGCGAGCTCGACGTCGCCATCGAGTACTTTCACAAGTCACTCGGTGTCCGCCCCGACGACACCCTCACGGTCGGCCTCCTGCAGACTGCACTCGCCGACGTCTTTACCCTCTGCCGGCGGTCGACGCGCCGGCAGACCACCTAACCTCGGCACATCTGGTCGCGCCGCTGCTGTAATAGTGCCATGGCCGCCTACGCGCTCGCGCCGTACGGCAGGTCCCACTCACGAGCGAGCACAACAAGCTCGTCAAAGTACGCGCGGTAGTACGCCGACCGCCGCTTGGGCCAAACAAAGTAAAAGATTGTGAGCTTGACAAAGTCGAGGCCGAGCGAGACGAAGAACGAGGTCGAGAAGAGGGCGACAGCCGACCAGAAAGAGTCGCCGCCGCCCGATTTGGCCTGCGCGTGGAAGAGGATGGCGAGGACAACAATGATGATGACGCAGGCGGCAATGATGATGTACCCGAGAAACTTGACCACAAAGGCCACGCAGCAGCCGCGGCCCTTTTTCGTCACAAACGACACAATGCGCTTGACCGTCGAGGTGATGAAGAAGACCGCAAGCGCAACCAGGCAGTAGACAAGAATCCGCCCGGCGAGCGAGGTCGACTCGGTATCGTCTGACGCCATCGAGTTGGAGAGGTGCTGGAACTCAGTCTGCGTCGGATCATTGGCGTTTCCGTTCTTGGTGCACTTGGAGATGGAAGTCGGCGAGACGCAGAGGAGCCACGAGGCCTTGTCCGGGTCGTCGAGACTATCGCACCGCGGCCGGTTGTCGTCGCCAACCGAGTTGCCGTTGTAGCAGTACGGCACGCAGACAGGCGGGTCCAACTCGCCCGATCCGCACCAAGTAAAGGCCATCGGATCCGCCACAGACGGCGCCGTCGCCGACGAGTGCGGCGGATAGCCAAAGAGCTCGTACGAGTGATCGCTCGAGTACTGCGCGTCCCACGGGGTCGGGAGGCACGCATCGGCGTGGCTTCCCGCCAGCGAGTGGTCGCGGCGACAATTCGCAAGGCAGTACGCCGCTGCAGAGCACGAGACCAGGTCGCGGGTCATCATCTGATACACCATGGCTCCGGCAAAGGCGGCGAGAAAGACAAAGGCGAGCATGAAGATCCGTCCCTTCCGTGACAGCACTCGAGCCTGGGTCGAGTACAGCGGCTCCGGGAAGAGGACAGCAAGCGCAAGGTGCTCGCGGAGAAAGTAGTTCCACAACCGCGGCGGCAAGATCTTGGCCTCGGCCGCCGCAAGCACCAGCTGCGGATTGACTACCGTCCCCTCGTCGTCCACGTAGCGCTTCCTCAGCCTCCTCGGCGGGATCTTGTGCATCTCTCCACTCTGTCGCCCTTCCCTCCTCTTCCTCCGACTCGATGCATTCATCTTGGGCGCCGCCCGCACCGGTGCCATTCCTCCGCTATCCGCATATCCATCGCCATCATGGCTGCCATAGGCAGGTGGCAGTCCACTCGGAACGTCACCCGAATCGTTATCGCCCGCGACAGAACCCGTCCGGCCACCCATCCTCCCACAGTCATCATCCTGCGGAGAGTACTCCGGTGCCACACGCATCCTTATCCGCCAAGCGTTTGTCTGTTAAAGAGATACTATGTGTGTGTGTGTGTGGGTGGGGGGGT